AAGAGTTCAGAGAAACCACGGTCGCCCTGCACGGCTTGCATTTCGATCCATCCTGGGTTGTCACACAAGCCTCCATACCTCCGTCGACCTCGGTCGTCATCGGTCTCGGAGAACAGAGGCCCATCAGCCGCAGGAAGCTTGCTTGGTGGCGGTACCGTCGATATCGGTGGATCTGTTCACCGATGATCGGCCACAGTGCACCTACAGGTGCCACAAGGTGCACTAGCAAACAGCAGCAGCATGGCCCCGACGAGAGAAACAATAAAACGTCGCGGAAACACCACCAGTGCCTTGCAGCGTGGGCCTGGATAGACCACGATAAAGGCCCGATTTGAAGGACTAACTGTACTCGTATTCATTCAGTCTCAAAGGTCGGTAATGGTCACGGACAGCCCTAGAATTGAGTAATTCGATAAGCAAAATGTCCGTTATACAGGTGAGTGCATTCACCAAGCAGGATCCATTTTCCGTTGACCTTTGGCTCGAGCGTGCTCCTCCGCTCTGGGTGAACTCTCACCTCAGGAGCCCGAACAGTTGACCTGTGGCTGGCTCTGGTGTTATTCATTTAAAGGTAGTGTGCCACCTTTGAAAGATTTCCCATTTTATTTTTCCTAGGATAAGAAGCTTCTGTTTTTACCTAATATCGCAAAGAAAATCAAAAATGGGCCTGGAATAGTGCCTTTTTCGCCTAAAAGTTTATCGGTTTTTCGATATGTATAACAACTGTAGTGGGCTGACCTGCAAACAGGCGTCGGCAACAATCGCGAATGCGGCGCACATGTGACAATAAGCAAAGGTCATTATAGAGTTACGACGTACGGGAATGAGTTATCAGCTGTCTAATCGTAGACAACACAATATCGAGCCTTAAACTGTAAGCCTGTATTGGTATAGTTTCTTTCATTTGGCTGTCGAACATTATTTATGGTTTGAAATATGATTTTATGTAAAATAATTGATATGAAAAAGCCGTCTCTTAAGTTATGACCCCATTTCACCACACGCAAGTGGCAGAAATGACAATGATCAGCTGACGCATTTTTCTTGGCCGAAGTCAGAGCGCGCGGCCCGACGCACCACCACCGCACCACAAAGTATGAGCAGAAGCCGCGCCCAAAGCCAGGGCCCCGGTAACGTGAGGTAGCCGAGTCGGGGCAGCGTGCGCTGACCCAAGCCGGGGCCGCAGCTTTGGGCGCGGTCTACCGCATCCCCGCGGGCAGCCCCGGGCTATCACATGACACCGGGAGGACGCGCGGCCCCGGCTTGGGTCAGCGCACGCTGCCCCGACTCGGCTACCTCACGTTACCGGGACCCCGGCTTTGGGCGCGGTCTACCGCACCACCTAACAGGCGTGTTCGAAACCGCAGGAGATGATGATGAGCGGGTTTATCGAAACTTGATTGGATGAGCATATCGGTAATAGCGATTTCAGTGTGTGCATTTATTGTTCATAGTGGTGTGAAATGTGGTTGGGGTACGACCGACAACCCGTCGGGGCGAATTTCGCACTGGAGTACTCAAAATTTGAAGAATTTAAGACGTTTCCATGAGTTTTGAAGGTATGGATAAGTTCTAAAAATCCGGTTCTCCTTATCTGGGCCATTAACTCCATACGGTCCAGGAAAGCTGGCACACTACCTTTAACCCTCGCCGGACCTATTGGTTTTCTATTGGTTATACGCGCCGGCCGAGGGGGGGGGGCGGGTACGACCCCCCCCCCCCCTCGCCGTTTCGGACCTGGTGGAGCTAGCGCGTCGCGGAAAAAACGAGCGTGTGCGCCGTTATGAGACGCAGAGTTTGGTACCCGATTTTAAGGTCCTAGGTCAACCGGTGACTTCTGAGGTCAGGTCAAGTGCCCCAGGGTACGGTTCAGTTTTTGGTGAATAACTTCGCAAAAAAACGGCCGCAGAGCCGCGATTTTGGCAGCATCGTGTTCGCCTCGCTCAGGCGCGTCGAATGATATACTTTTTATCCGGGTCAGGTCAACTTGGGGTGTTGACCTCAGGTCAAGGCCAGGTCAGCACCCCCAGGTCACGAAGTAGGTCGAAAGAGGTCATGTCGCATATCGTTCGATTCGGCAGGTCTTCCTGAGTCCATTGGTGGCTTCCTCGACTCGCTAGCTCAATTTGATCAAGAGTTATTGACGAAAAACTAATATGACCTTGATGACGTCATAAATGACGTCACGCAAGGTCAACATTGCAAAAGTGACGCATCTAACCTTGCAAGGAGTGCATCAAATCACGATTCTGTGTGCTTGAGATAGTTGGAGATCGTTCCCGGCGCCAGAATAGCAGTTTTCATTTTTCCCCATTGACTTATAATGGTGAGGTCACGAAAATGACCTGACCTCATATGACCTTTAGGAAAAATCCGAGATATAAAAGTTGTGAGACTCATAATGGATACTAGATCCTGCAAGTTTCATTTCCCTGTGACATCTCCTCTGGCAGTGAGGGCGTTGCGAAGTTGCGACATCTGAAGACCGTGCAGAGGTTCACTTATGACGTCATAGGTCAGTGACCTGACCTGACCCAAAAATGCGGTTGGTGTCAAAAGATGCGGCTTGGATCAAAGGTCAGATATGCTAAGTTTCAGCTCTCTATCGCCAGCGTGTTTGGAGCTATCGCGAAAAAAACCTAAGGGGGGCGGCACCCGCCCCCCCCCCTCGGCCGGCGAGGGTTAACATCGTCAATGATTAAACAGTTCTGACCAAACTACGAGTACACCGAGGCCATTGGCGTATCATTTTGAGATTTAAAGGTAGTGTGCCACCTTCCAACGATTTCCCATTTTATTTTCCCTAGGATAAGAAGCTTCTGTTTTTACCTAATATCGCAAAAAATCAAAAATGGGCCTGGAATAGTGCTTTTTTCGCCTAAAAGTTTATCGGTTTTTCGATATGTATAACAACTGTAGCGGGCTGACCTGCAAACAGGCGTCGGCAGCAATCGCGAATGCGGCGCACATGTGACGATAAGCAAAGGTCATTAAAGAGTTACGACGTACGGGAATGAGTTATCAGCTGTCTAATCGTAGACAAGACAATGTCGAACTTAAACTGTAAGCCTGTATTGGTATTGTTTCTTTAATTTGGCTGTCGAACATTAATTTATGGTTTGAACTATGATTTTATGTAAAATAATTGATATGAAACAGCTGTCTCTTAAGTTATGAACCCATCTCACCACACGAAAGTGGCAGAAATGACAATGATCAGCTGATGCATTTTTCTTGGCCGAAGTCAGAGCGCGCGGCCCGACGCACCACCACCGCACCACAAAGTATGAGCAGAAGCCACCTAGCAAGCGTGTTCGAAACCGCAGGAGATGATGATGAACGGGTTTATCGAAACTTGATTGGATGAGCCTATCGGTAATAGCGATTTTAGTGTGTGCATTTATTGTTGATAGTGGTGTGAAATGTGGTTGGGGTACGACCGACAACCCGTCGGGGCGAATTTCGCACTGGGGTACTCAAAAATGGAAGAATTTAAGACGTTTCCATGAGTTTTGAAGGTATGGATAAGTTCTAAAAATCCGGTTCTCCTTATCCGGGTCATTAACTCCATATGGTCCAGGAAAGCTGACACACTACCTTTAAATAAATGCATGCACTGCAAAAGTTGGCTTTATAATGATAATTTTTCGTCAAACTTCATTATAAGGGACGGAACAGCGACAAAACAGTAGCCCCCTACCTTCAATTAGGTGGGGGGGGGGGGCACTGCCGACTTTTGGTCCCATTCTTTCCGTGCAACGCCCATAGGGCTAACGTAAAAATGGCCAAATCTAGGGGGCACGGTGCCCCGGTGACCCCCCCCCCCCTTCCGCCGCCTTTGCAAGAAAGTAAACATTATTGAATTTTGACGGATTATTCAGTTTTGCGGTCCGATTCAACCACTAGCCAGGGCCGATTCATGGGTGACAAATAAGGCTCGCCCACAGGGGTCATTTTGTGGACTTTCCTCTCGGGTAAACAGCCACTAACTAGAACCACAATCATAGATGGGTGACCGGCTACAGACGAAGACGGACTGCCACTCATTCGTTCTGATGGTAACAAGATAACATCAGTCATCGACATCGCTGCCGAGTGCTGAGTGCCGTGAGCTGCAGCGCTGCGCGAAACACGTGTCCTCTCGCGTCAGTCACGTGACTCGTCTTCTGACCGTGATGTCAGTCTCAGCAGAACTCCGTTGAGCCATTATGGCGCGGATGGCGATGCAGAAAAAAAAAACAAATAGATGGACGAGGCGGCTGTTTACGCTGACGTTGATCATGGACATTCACATTCACCATGGACATTTTTACCTTAAACTGGCAGTCATCTCCACCCTGCGGACCGCTTAACTTCAGTCACAGTCTGATTCGACTTTCCCCATATTGATATCCCACAAAATAGCCTCTTTCGAGGTCTAATAGGGAAATATCTTGTAAATCTTAGGCACGGCAGTGTTTGGACTAAAACCCTCCCATCTCTTCAATCTTACCTATATACCTATGCTCACTCCCCTACCTACGTGAAATCACAGACATGTACGCATGCAAAACATTTTTCCATGCGCACTATCTTTCCAAATAGCACGACTGAATTGTGGAACCCCATGGCTGGAGACAGGGGAAGGTAGGTATTGGAGTTCGATGTGCCCTGCAGCTGACACGGGTTGAAAAATCCGAGCGCGCTGTACGCACTGCTGGTGACGTCACAGCAAGCGCGCCGCGCGCCGGCGGCGGCCCGTCTCGCGGGGCCGTTTCACAGAACTCGACGAACAAAAACTGCGTAATGGCCCAGCTATTTGGCGGCGAGGAAAACAGGACAGAGGAAGGTCACTCGTTCAGGCACGACTGGGGCACTACGGCAGACTACGGCGAGGTAGGGTAAACGGCAGCTGCTATGGTGGATATTTGTCGCGGAAGGCCACTGGAACACTGAGGAAGGCCACAAGTTAATTACGCACAGCCGTTCGATGCGCCTCGCACTGCGGATAGCGTACTCACGTTTCCTGTTTAGTACAGACGTTCGGCCCTTCGAGCGCTGTAACGACGGCCGCTAACGCCAGGAGGGCCGGTATCCTCATCACTAGTCTCCACATCACGCCAGCGCGCAGCGGTCTCAGCCAGTCTACTCCAACGCGGGCTGCCGGCGGCCGCTCACTCCACCCAAACTCGCGGACCCGGCGGCACTGCGTGTCCGCTGTCCGCCGCGCTCCGCCCGCGACCGGCTCCCCACCGCTGCCAGTGACGTCACGCGGTCTGAGCTGTGCACGGCCGCCCGTAAACCGCCCCACCATGCCAGGGCCGCCGCGCCGCGCCGCGACGTCAGCTCAGTGAGAGAGACGGCGCCGCTCCGCTCTTGTTGGTAAATAAAGTCAATGAGCTAAACGGGAGGGTAAGTACCCGGTATAGTGCACATGCTGCCGGTCCTAGCGCTAACTCTCGCGCTTATTGGTGTTTCCCCAGTCGCTAACGCTTAGGAGGGGGCTTTTACGCGAGCTATTTGCGAAAAACATAGTGCATATTTCTTAAAGAGTTTTTCCCGCGCCCTGCTGGGGGGGGGGGGCGGGGGGGGGCGTGTTTGAGCACCAATAACTGCCATTTTTGCGAAGCAAGCGTGTTGCTACATGACACAGGAGTCGAGTTAGAGGGGGGCATAAATACGCCCCCCCCCCCCCAGCACACCACGGAAAACAGACCACCAGCACGGTGCGAGTTAATGACGTCATAGATGACTAGATGACGTCACACAAGGTCAACGACGTAAATGCGAAGCATTGGACCTTGCCAGAAGTGCATGAAATCATGATTACATGTGCTTGAAAATAATAAGAAATAGTTTAAAATCGTTCCCGGCACAAAAAAAAAACAGTTTCTATATTTCCCCCCATTAAAGGGACCCTCCCACCTTCAAAAAAGTTATTGAATGGCATAAAACTTAAAAGTGATGTCGCTCAGTTCAAAAAGAACAAAAAGGAATATGTACCAAATTTCACCGAAAAAAAAAATATTCACCGGGTTTCAAGATATTTACACGTTTTTACATGGTGTCATGTCTGGTAGGATAGACAGCTCTCTTCTGCTATGTTTCCGTTGCGCGTTCCCGTTCGTCAAACTTGCCGTGCTGATTTCATGTGTGTTCCAACTGCTCGCGTTGGAGCGTTCTCGTGCTCGTCTTCGTTGTTCTGTCGGCTCCCACGTGTTTTAAACGCACGATTACTCAAACACCCTTCTTACGACCAGGGGCGCCGCCACGGATTTTTGACTGGGGGGGACGGACTGACCGACTGAAAACCCAAAAGTAGGCATTCTTACCGTGGCTTTTTCGGTCCGATGCATTCAAAGTTTAAAGCAAATATGCCACTTTTAACATTGGGTTTTGAGCTTAAGTAACAGTTTTGTAGCCTGAGCTGAGACGAGAACAAATCAGGAGCTTTTATGGCTCAACGATCACCCTAGCCAAAGATATCGGTATCGATTTTAGGTTTGAAGACTGAAGTCATTCCCATTATTACACTTTGTCATTCCCTTACCGAGGAATCCATTCCCTTACGGAAAAATGCCAGCCAATCAGCATTCAGCTGGTTTGAACTACGTACCTAATCTGATTGGTCAACGCTTAATCAGCTTCCGCTGCAATATAGGTAAGGCCTCTACGAAAGACGGAAATTGGTTCTTATGTAATAATAAAAAAAAACATTTTGCAAATACTCATTATGTTATTTCCTGACCATTTTAAGCATAAAAACTCATAAACCTGTGGCAAAACAACTGGTTTGAGGAAAGTAGTTTAGGTATTTCCTTTAAGTAATGGCTGTAGACCGAATTCCCACCGAGTACCTACCTATATACACACCTGATGTCCGATTCAATTTTGACATGGCAAAGCCTCTAGTGCCTCATCATTCAGGGTATAATTGCTGATGTATGCCACTAATCTGATCGGTAATGCATATTGCATAGGTAATGCATATTGCATACCCGCGTGGGGGAGGAGGCGTTGTATAGTTACAATCTCTCTGTCTGGTTTGTGCATGAATCGGCGCGAAGCGCCGCGAAAATTGGCAAAAAACATCAGGCAAAACTGCTCTAAAATACAAATTTTGCAGCCCGTTTAACAAGCTTGATACCTACCAGAAAACCTTAGGTCAGGTCACCAAGTCAAGTAGTCAAGTCGCCTCAAAGTTTTGTGGTCCTGTCAACGGTATAGCTTATTTCTTAGAAGCTGAAAATGTATTGTAGTGTGACTGCAGAACTGTGGGGTCGGAGCCGGAATCAGTCGGAGTTGACAATAGCCGCGTTTACATAGGGCTAGTTGCCAGATAGTGGAATTCCACTAACGAGACATTTTTTCCACTAACGAGACATTTCAGGCACCTTCAGATAATTCTGACGACCTATCCGGCCAGAAGGACCAAACCGATTGACAAAAATAAATACATCGTGGCGGAAGAACACTAAGAGGTACTTCAGGCCTAGACATAGTATAGATGTCGCAACTCGCGGCCTTCCCGGCAGTAAGGGCGAGGTATAGATGACGCTACGGCAGCAAGTCACTGGAACGTACGAGTCGTGGAATGGAACGGAAGATACGGAACGGGGGCTTCTTAACGGAAGCTTATTCGTTTAATTTTCATTTAAGAATTGATTTCGTGCGCTAGGGAAAGAACATTGTCTTCTTTTTTCATACGTCTGCACCCCCCCGTCCCCTCCATCCTTTGGATCAGCCAGTGTGCAGCAAGAGGGTTCATCGGAGAAAAACAACAAAGAGCAATCCTCCCTGAGCCTGTCAGGTCAGAAATAACCTGAGCATAGGCGACGGAACGGGGAGGGCACCGGGGCACCGTGCCCCCCTTTGATTTTGGCCTGCATGGAAAGAATGGGACCAAAAGTCGGCGGTGTCCCCCCCCCCCCCCTCCGCGGCTACTGAAGCTGAGGACCGTTCGTTATGCCCTACTGCCCACGCTTCTTAAAATTTCAGTAGTAGTCAGTTATCTGGCCAATGTTTCCGTATAGGGGCTGGCAAACACAACTGAGCCTCGTGAGTGGGATGAGTACTGGACACAGAAGTGGACAATCTGTTGGCAAGAAGCCCGCAAGGATAATATCTCGAAACTCAGGACTACGTATACAAACACTTTAAATGCATCTAAATCTATACTATAATCGAAAGCCGCATTGTTGTGAACTACCGGCACGTGCGTCCAATCACCATCAAGAACGGAAGTCCGACCTACAGCAAGCACGACAGTCCGATCAAAAATGTATTGAAAAATAACTAGCAACTTTAAACATCGCCTTCCTCAGCCACGCTCTACACCGCATCACATAAGAAAACCGCCAATATCGATTACAAAACACACATAAAGGAATTCCGTAGGTATAGATCAGAGGAATACTTCACCTCCTTTATCTGGCGCGTCAATAGGTATAAAGTAATCTTTGGCGTCTACGCACTAGCAACATCTATAATGCAAACAGCAGTTCAGAAACCATCCACTAAAATTGTAACAAGGCAAGGGTTGGTCAAAATAAATTATAGTCACCGTGATAAATAGCAAACGAAATACAAAACAAGCACAACAAAGCATTCCACACTCGTTTAGACTGTACAACATGCCTACATAAGACATTGCAGCAGTGTACGAGGAAAACATTCTTTAAAGATGCTAACGTGGGGAGTTTTAAAAGTTTGGTGAACACAGTTACGAGTCACTGCACAAGAAATGTAGCGCGGTCGCCAGCCGGCCCAGGCGAAAGAGTCGACGGAGACGGCGTCAAACAAACCCGAGAGGGGGTAGTTTCATCCGCATCAGCGGAGGCGCTCTCTCTACCAAGGTCGTCAGTTACCAGCCGCAGCACCCTGCTGGCGATTTGATAGCTGCTCTCATTCTCAGCTGGCTGAGCGCCATGTGCCGGGTCATCCGGCTCCATGATTTCCCCTTTCATTAGCAGCTGCTGTTGTAGTTATTGTTGTTGCGTTCCTTTCAGCCGCTGCCGCAGCATAGCCGTACGGTTCTGGATGGTTCTCACGGCGGCAGCCAGGGTCATCCGTCCTGCCAGCTCCGCCGCCAGGCGCGCGCAGCGTCGCGCGCGCCTGCCTTGCAGATAGTGCTGCCCAAGTCGATCGGCGGACGGCGCTACCGTTGGGATAGGGCGCCAGCCTCGCGCGCGAGGGCGTCCATCCGCTCGTTGCCCGGAAGCCCGCAGTGTGCAGGAACCCACTGCATTATCACTGGATGGCCCCCTCGGTGAGCGCTGCCAGCAGCCCCCATATGTCTGCGGCCAGAGGGGCTCTCTGGGCCGCCGCGCCGCTCCGCAGGAGGGCCAGCGCCGCCATCGAGTGGGTACAGACGATAATTATCGGAAGAGAGGTGTCGCGACCAGTCTTGGTCAACAGCTCCTCCAACACCGCTCTTAGGGCGAATAGCTCGCCGCGCGTGCTAGAGCAGAGGGCGCCTGCCGCGACACGCACCTCCCGGATGTCGCGGTTCAGGGGGGGGGTGGCCCCTCCTCCTCCATCTAGCACACCATCGGTGGCGGAGCTGTCTGACCAGATCAAGCTCGCCTCAGACGGGAGCTCCGCCAGACGACTTTCCGCCGCCTTGGCTCGCCAGCCGTCGCGCCCAAACTCGCTTCAGGCCGTGAGTCTATAGCCGGCGCGGTGGCGTGGCTTCGCCATACTAGCCTTGGGCGGGTTGTCCTCAGAGAACGCGTTCGCATTGGCGAGGAGGCGAGCAGCGCCACGAGTCCTGAAATGACCAAACAATATCAATGGACAATCAAAATTGTGAAAATTGGCATTAACTGCGCAACTGATGTTTGCTTCTTTGTTTATTAGGGTTTACGGGCGCTACGGTGGTCATTTTGCACCCATGACGCTGTTCTGGTGAACCTGCGCAACTGAGCAGTGATCATGCCATAACTTATATTTGGCGTAGTGGCAGGGTTCCACCTAAAATTTCGGCGCACGTCAGGTGTAAAGTTACATGCGACAAATTCAGCGCATGTCAGTTGGGGAGACTAACCCCGCGTTCGATGTCTCCCGGACGGCAAAGATTCTACGCCGTCCGGCCAATCACGTTTCATAACCACAGCCGAGCCCCAGCTGACCTTGGACGGGATTGGCTGGACGACGTAGAATCTTCGTCATCCGAGAGACATCGAACGCGGGGTAAGGCTGCTGGAGTGCTGGAATAATATAAAACGAGGGCACCAAAAATTGATCCTAAATGACCATACTTGGACATTAATGCAGACCCTCTCTGTATCACCAATTGTCAGAAAACAACCATGTGTTTGAAAGAGCGTTAGACAGTCATGAAGCCAGGATAAAACACAGTGCTATTTTCTCAAAGCAGCTTTTACATGATAGAGTTAGGTAACTCTCTCTCTCCGTTAACCATTCGCAAGGCCAAAAAGGCCTATTGGTTTTGAAAGGCATTGGATTACAAGCTGAGCATTTTTTACTTTATCATAAAATGTTAAACCTGCGTGTAGATGAAGTCTGAACGGTGGTTTGTAGGCTGATAGGTTGGAGGTTGGAGGTTAGTAGGGAAGGGAAGGTCAGGATAATTTCTGCTTTTTATTTTCATTGGACTTTAGCCTTCATCAACACACGCATCAAAAATATTTACTTGAGCATCTTCAAGCCTCAATATACAACAAGGTGTGCCACAACACACTGGCGGATCCAGGGGGGGGCATTAGGGGCATATGCCCCCCCCGACAGGAGCCTGGGGAGGGCATTCAGTACAAGTATGCCCCCCCCCCCGTTCAAAATCTTACGCCTATAACGAGGAACTAAATAAACATGGATTAGAAAGTCTTCCTATGTAACTACTTTTGTGATCAGAGTCGTTTTAGTAACCTCAATTTAGTTGTCATTGCTTTATTTTGTCTAAAAGTATGTTGCTTCTTAGTTCTTACAACAGGGAAGTCATGCCGCTTCAAGTTTCAACCCTTTTGACCGTATTGTCTAACGATGGCACTCATATTGCGCAAACCAGGAATCGGCCGCCGCCTATGCTTGGGAATAGGGACGGTTAGAATATGATTTACCTGTATGGCCACAGCCAGTGCAGCGTAACCGGGGGGGGGGGGCACAAGGGGCGCGTGCCGCCTCATTAGATGCATGGTGCCCTATGGGCCCGAGAGGCCCTGCAGTGCCAATTGGCCGCTCAGGGTCCAAGCGTGCCTTATTTCGACTGAGATAACACCCGCAGGACTCGTGAGAGCACCTCACGGAGTAACGGGCTCCTGGGTCGCCACATATCACACATCTCCATAAGGGCCCCACTCCGGCCTCTGAGGGCCCTGTGCTGGCCTCTGAGTGACCTTGCTGACCTATTAAGCGTCAGCTCTAATTAGAGTCCTGGCCCATACCCGCATGGAACGGCTCCACACCAGTGTCTCTGAGGGCCCATAACGGCGCCTTTGAGGGTCTCACACCGGCGCCTTTGAGGGCCCAACACCGCCAATCTGAGGGACTAACACCAATCTTTTTTAAGGACCTACATCGGCGGCGGCTCTGAGGGCCCCACACTGGCGCCTCTGAAGGTCTTACACAGGCGCATCTGACGGCTACCTACCTGCAACTCAGTGGGCCCCACACTGGTGACTCTGAGGGCTCCCAGTGACGCCTGAGAGTACCACGCCGGTCTCCAGGATCCCACAGGGCTCCTGAAGGCCTCTGCTGGCCCTTGCTGGTCTCTTGAAGACCCCTTGCCCCCATGCATGTGTCTCTGAGGAGTGAGGACTCCCACAACGATGCCTTTGAAAGTCTTCACCGGCGACTGTGAGGGCACCACATAGACACGTCTGAGGGCCCTACACCGCCACCTCTGACACACCAGTGTCTCCTGAGGTCCCACATCGGCGACTCTGAGGGTCCCACACCGGCGCCTCTGGGGCCCCACACCAGTGCCTCTGGCAGTCAGCCACCGGTAACTCTGTAGGTCCTACACCGGTGACTCTGAGGGTCCCACACCGGCGCCTCTGGGGCCCCACACCAGTGCTTCTGGCAGTCAGCCACCGGTAACTCTGTAGGTCCTACACCGGTGACTCTGAGGGCCCCACCGGCGTCTGAGAGTACCATGCCGATCTCTAAGGACTCCACAGGGCTCCTGAAGATACTGCCGGCCCTCACTTGCCGGCCTGTGAAGGCCCATTGTTGGCATCATACGGTCCGTTACCGGCCTCTGAGGGCCCTTTGTCGGTCTCTGAGAGGTCCTACTGGGTTATTAAGCATTCGCATTTCGCACCAACAACTCCAAGGGCCCCACACACAGCCATCTGTGAATGGTGTGGGCTTAGCGCCACACCAGTGTCTGAGGCACCACAACGGCGTCCATGTGAGGGCCTCACACCAGCACCTTAGAGGGCTCACACCGGCTCCTTTGTGGTTCCTGCACCAGTGCCTCTGAGGGTCCCACACCACTGCCTCTGGGGAACCCACACCGATAGCTTTGATGGTCCCACGCCAGTACCTCTTAAGGTGCCACACCGGCGGCCCTGGGTCGCCTCTATAGGTACACCAGTCATTCTGAGGGCCCCACCGGCCCCACCAATTTTCGTCGATTTCTGGCGCTTCCCGGGTATTTGTCCCAAAAGCCTCCTCCTCCTGGATCTGCCAATGGGGTTCAGGTGTCCTACAATTTCTGTTTTTTTTTTTTTTAGAAAAAAAACTCGTGTCAGGGCTATGACGAAAAATAAGTGGCCTAAATCCGATGAGAAAACAGGATTTGGGGGTACCTTAGGTTTGGCTCCGTGACCTGGTATGCCCCCCCCGCGCTGACACCCTGGATCCGCCAGTGCGGCACAACAAATTAAAAATTGATGATATGCCAATATATGGTCATGATTTTTACCACCAGAATTGAATTAAATGCCTATTGATGCCTTACCTAATAGGCTGAAATCTGATTAACCAAGCATTTTTTCTTGTGAATTGGCAGTCTAAAATTTGGCTGGCTTGAGCACGACGCTATTGCTCTAGCAGAATCTCAAACAGATGTCTACCAAGTGCCACTCCCAAGAAAGTTTTTCAAGATTCTAAAACCACAAACTTTGTTGCTGCCTGATCATGTGATGGTTGATCAAATGATAGCACTCCATCTGAGGCCAGTTTTACAAACAGAAAATAGCCACCTGCCGGATTATTTTGCCTCAAGGCTAATTCACATACCTATGGAGCATAAATGGTGAAGCCCAGGTTTAAAAGGAACAGGTTTCAAGACAATCGGCATGACAAACCAACACCTTACCTGCAGTTCAAGTTTGTCGATTTCTTTATCAAAATCTAGTCTTCGTCTAATCCACAAATCAAGATAAAATTACTGGATAGGTACAACTTCTTCTTATTCTTCTTCTGCACCTCACCCGCCGCCCCCTACACTTCTCCCTTATTCTGATAAATATATTTACATAATTTTCACAAAAATGCCACTCAACGGGGTAGATCTAAAAAAGTGCAGGGCTTAAATTTTGAGCTATAGAGTTCTCAGTGATTTTGAGACACCCAATATGTCTTCGGCACGCCGTATTTGTCTCTCACTGCCTGCGAATTCGGCGATATGATTGGTCGAAGGCCGACGCTATGGGTCCAAGAAAAGGCCAAGATTCCTGCCAAGATTCTTACAGATAGCCAAGGCCGATGACTGACGTGACTGACGGCATGTTACTGCCCTTGGCATATTGCCAATGCACTGCTCGGTCATATCCGCAGTAATGTCAACAGTCATATCGGAAGTAATATGGTAACTATACGCAAAAACCATTTGGCGTATAGCTACCATACTTTTCCGATAACGAGACATTCTAGATCAATCTCTCTGCTGTTGGCGACATCTGCTGAGAAATCCCAAGACCGAACGCAAGCACATAAAAGTAATGCACTCTAAGGATGCGTTCGAAATCTGGGAAGTGACGGATTTCATTTCTCAATGCGTGTCCCACTCCAGCCTTCCCCATGCTGTTCGTTCCGCCATCTATTGCCATGTTTCGCATTCGCATTTCATGAATTCACCACCCCGCCAAGTAGGTTGGTATCAAGTTGGTATAGGTGTCGCATCGCTCTGGTCGATCAGGCTGAGCCAGCTGTCTGGAGAGTGGAGCCGATCCGAAAAAAACGCAGAAATTCAAAAGACCGACTCCAAAGCAATGGCAGCATGCATATCAATAGAGCGTAATTCTGTCATGATTGCGTCAGAAGCAAACATAATGGCAAGAGTTTCTTGTGTGTCGGTAGGCGCGTGTGGAGCCGCTGGACCGACCGGGGACGTAGGTACCCAAGGGGGGACGGACGGGGTGCGCCTCCCCCGGCCCCCTAGGGGTTTTCAGGGCCCATGCTGGCAGAAGGCCCACGTTGGCCAAAATCACGTCGGAGACGAACGAAATTCATGGGAATCCCCAAAAAATCACGTCAGGACAATCAAGGCTCTCCGACTCGCCTGCCACCTGGGGTCATTCAATTTACTACATGGGGCCTCCTGTGAATAGCCGCTAGTGTCTGTGTCTGACCACCTCTGACTCCTCGGGTAGAGGGCCCTCTGTAGGTAGGAGGCTCTCTCTACGGGATTCCTCCGCTCCCCCCCCCCCGGCCAAATTTTAGGTTATACGTGCCTGCGCTAAGCCGGCGTCGGAGAGAGGAGTTGACGACCGAATGACAAGGAGTACTCGTCCTGAAAGTAAACATTTGGAATACAAACAATCCAAAGCTGTTCAGTATTTATATCCTTCGAGAGCAGTGCCTTCAATTTGGATACACTTAGCATTCATTTCCCACACCCGTGTACACTCCACGAAGGCTTCTCCGCTGCGGACTCCCGCTTCCGCCGATGCGTCAGTTCATACCCTGATGGCTTGCTGGGGAGGGTGGCCAAGTGTCGCTGTGCCGCCAGGTGTAGTTCATCAGCCGAGGCGTCGCGCTGCAGTGTCCCGATGTCCAGCCTGAAGGTGAAGTCTGGGAAGGCGGCCACCTCCCACGGCGGCGCGCTGGCATGCAACCAGGGGGTCGAGCAGCAGGGCGATCCCAGCCGCTCGCCAGGTTTCGTGCCCCACCCCACGCCAGCCCGTCACCGACTTCAGTCGGCTGGGCGGCCCATCTTCCGCGATAGTCCTGAGGGCTTGCCCTCGGGGAGCGCGTGCGCCTTGGCGAAGAGCTTCGCTACCAGCACGTCTCGCCGGGCGGCCAGCGGGCACCGGCATCAGTTCGGCCTCCGCCATCACTGCGTGGGCTGGGGTAAACAAGGGGCAGCCGGTGATATACGGGTAACCGCCTGCATCTCCCTCTGGAGAAGTTCCACGTGGGATTGTGGCGTCACCAGGAGCCAGGTGGCGGCCGCGTGCACCAGCACTCCACGGACGTATCCAGACGCTACAGCGCAGAGCTGTCGTTCCTCTAGTCCCCAGCCCCGCGCTGTCAGCTTGCGAAGCTGCTGGATCCGGGGCACACTCGGGAGCGGAGACTGCGGCAATGGGCCCCGACGTGAAGGAGCAGGTTGAGGGGGTGGCTCCTGTTATGTTCGTAATTCACGGTTCGAGTGAGAGAGAGCTTAAGAGAAACGCGATTTATTTACTGCCGGTGCGAATGGGCCGAGAGAGTCTTCCAAAAACTAAACAAGTATGGCGAGCGTCAGTTTTCGTCCCGTGCGCCACTCACGCCGCTTGGCGCGCACGGACAGCTGAGCGCCGGCAGGGGCGCTCCCAGGCACACAGAGGTGGGGCCGCAGAGGCGGTCCAAGTCTACACCCCCTATACCCGAACACAACATCCCCCCTCGAGACAACAGTCGTCAAAAACACACAAAAACACAACACTCCACGACGTTGTCTCACAATCACTCCTCATACGAGGTCGCACCCCATTGAACTCGGAGCCGACCAGGAGCGCGGCGCTGCCGTCGAGAACGACGCGGGAGAGCGGCGGCGGCCGTCTCCACCTCGGGTGACCGCACCGGCGGCGAGCGGCACACAACCGGCGCACTAGCAGCGGGTCGGACCGCCCGCTCGGCGGCGACCGCGGTGCTCTCTGGCGGCGGCGGCGGCGGCCGCTGGGGCGCGCGCGGGGCGGACGGAGCCACAGGCGGGGTGGGCTCTGTCAGAAGGGGCCGGTATGGGCGCAGGTAGCGGCGGTTCCGCCACAGGACCCTGCCACTGGCGGTCTTGACGAGGTACGTGCGCCTCTGACCGACGCCCACGATCACTCCGATCCGGTTCCATCGGCCGGTGGCGGGGTCTTGAAGGTCGACCCGGCTGCCGATCTTGAGCGGTGACAGCCGGCGCGTGCTCTCGTCGTAGCGTCTGACCACCTGCTCCTGGAGCTCGGCAGCCTTTTCTTCACAGACAGCGGCTGCTCGCTGCCACTCAGGAGCGAAGGCGCGGTGGTGCGTGGGAACACCAGAGCGAAGCGGGTGACCAAACAGCACCTGTGCCGGCGACCGTCCGTCTGCTCGGGGCGTGTTACGGAGTTCGAGCAGACTTCGGTCCAGTTGGTCCTGGTCGAGCCGGCCCGATGAGGACGCAGCCAGCACCAGCTTCTTCGCTGTCTTCACGCAGGCCTCCGCGTGCCCGTTAGCGCGCGGGTAGTGCGGTGACGACATCTCATGCCGTACGTCCCAGCGCTGGAGGAACCGGCGGAGCGTGCCTGATGCAAACTGGGGTCCGCCGTCTGACCGGAACACGGTCGGGACGCCCGTCTGCGAGAACATCAGTCGGAGCTGCCGCGTCAGATGGTCCGCCGAGGCGGTGCGGGGACACACAGTGACGTACGGCCACCCGGACAGGCGGTCCACATACACCAGGTACGTGCGTCCTCCAGCGGAGAAGTAGTCGGCCGAGACCGACTCGAAGACGCGTGTCGGTGCGCCGTCCTCCTGCCACATCGGCTCCCGGGCGTGGCTGGGCAGGCGCTGACGGCACTGAGCGCAGGCGGCGACAGTGTCAGCAATCTGCTTGTCGATGCCCGGCCAGTACACACTGAGCCGAGCACGGCGCTTGGTCCTATCAACGCCCTGGTGTGACTCGTGGAGTTTCTCCAGCACACCGCGTCGGAGGGCGGACGGGATGACCAGTCGAGCGCCGTAGACCACCAGTCCGTCGTCGATGGCCAGCTGATGGCGCACGCCCCAGTACGCTCGTACTGCAGGGGGCGTCTCGTGCCGGTTCTCTGGGAATCCGGCCAGGATCAGCTCGCTGAGAGTCTGGTACTCGGTGTCGCGCTCCGCGGCGGCGCGGACTCTCTCCAGTGTGGAGTCGACCAGCGGAGCCAGCTGGGCGCCCTCCTCCGATCGAGCGGAGGCCTGCAGCGCGGCAATGACGCTGGCGTGCAGCGGGTCGTCCTCGGTGTCCACCGCTCCGTCGTCATCAGCGGCGGGGTCGCTGGTGGGCGCTCGCGAGAGCGCGTCTGGGATCACGTGACTCGATCCCTTCTGCCAGCTGGTGGTGAAGCTGTAGGCCAACAACTTCTCTCTCATCCGCTGCAGACGCGGGTTGTCGATCGAGTTGAGCTGCTTGTAGTTTAGGATGGTCACCAGCGGTCGGTGGTCGACCACCAGGTCGAAGTGGGGCATGCCAGCCAGGTAGACATGGCACTTCTTGCAGGCCCAGAGTACAGCAGCCAGCTCCAGCTCGATTACAGCATATCGGCTCTCGGTATCGGTCAGGAACCGTGAACCATACTGGACCACACGCCAGTCCTCTCCGTGCCTCTGGAGCAGTGCAAAACCCAGTCCTCGGGTTTTAGCAGCGTCCGTCTGTAGCACGGTCGGCAGCTGGGGGTCGAAGAATGCCATCACCGGCGGTGACGACAGCACAATCTTGGTGTGCAGAAACGCTGCCTCGTGCTGCTCAGTCCAGCGCCAGACCCGGCGCGACTTGAGGAGGTCTCTGAAGGCCTGAGTCGAGCCAGCCAGCTCCGGTGTGAGGCCGCTCAGCTGATTCACCAGACCCATGAAGGACCGCAGGTCGGTGACGTTCTCCGGTCTCGGGAAATCAGCGATGGCGCGCGCCTTTTCATTGTCGGTGGTGTAGCCGGCCGGGGTGATCTTGTAGCCGCAGAATTTGACCTCATTCTGGGCGAACTTGAACTTCAGCGGGTTCAGCGTGATTCCTCGGTCGTCACAGCGCCGGAGGATTTCGATCACCTGCTGCAGGTGCTGCCGGTACGTCTGTGCCACGGCCAGGATGTCGTCGACAATCTTGACACAGTTTGGGATGTCGCCGAGCGCGGCATCGCCGCGCCGGTTGTACTCGTCTCCAGACGCACTGCATCCCATCGGACAGCGGACGAACTTGAACCTGCCCCACGGCGTGATGAAGCAGGTGAGGTCCTGACTTGACTCAGCGAGCGGCACCTGGAAGTAGCCCATCTTGGCGTCCAGAGTCGACATCCACCGGTGCCCGGCGGGCAGACTCGTCACGGCATCGTGAGGAGACCGGCAGGGGTACGTGGGTCGATTCACGTACCGGTTGAGTCCCGTCAGGTCCACGCAGAGTCGAAACCCGGACGGGTTCTTCGGCACGCACGAAATGGGATGGCACCATTCCGTCGGGTAGTCCACAGGGACGATGACGCCGCGGTCCAGCAGGTCGTCCAGCTGCGCCTTTACCTCGGCACGCCAGGCGAAGGGGATCGGTCTCGCAGCGGTGACCGA